TTATTGCAAACTACAAATTTTTTATGAATATTGATACATGAAAAAAAAATCCCTCGAGAGAAATTTTTTAATTTTCTCACAACTTAAAAAAAGCATTCACTCAATTATTCTGTTTAGTTATTTAAGCAAAATCAGTCCTTAAAGCAAAAATACAAATTTCCCTTTGATATAACTTCTGTATGAAAATGATCATCAAACATCAAGGATCAACAAATTTTAGGTTATAAATAGAATATAAAACCATTAAATAAATTTAATAAAAAACACGCTCATTCTTACATAAATAAAAGCATTCTGTTGCACATTTAAAAATCGTATAATTCTTTAGTATTTCTGTAATTCTTTAGTATGAGTTCTATTTGTACAGACAAGTAGCACAGTGGGAACATTTAAATTTACATTAAAATCACTTCTTGCAAGTACATACATACATATGTGAATACAAAGCTTTTGTTAAGGCAAAATGGAATGAATTCAAATAGAGCACAAAGCTTCCTACATCATACACATGTATGTATGTACATATATGTACAGCTAGCTTGACCTTAATTTACACGCATCCCCTAGAACTCAATTATTGCCGAGAAGCAAGTATGTAGATACAGCAATTTAAGCTTTGGCGATGCTAGCAGCATTTTAGGCGTTCACACAGCTCACAGCTACAGCTATGTATGTATGTACATATGTATGTGTGTAAGTGCGTGTCGCCACTCACTCTCAACCGCCAGCGGCAAGCAATATCACACTGTTACCGCCTGCCAAGCTGTCACCGGCGCTGACATTGATGATGATGTATTTCCGCTGCCTCTGTGTAACGCCTCCTCGCAGTGTACATACAAATGCAGGCACATACAAATATACAAATATATATATGTTTGTACTATGTCTTCTTCCTTGCTATCGTCTCCACAAATTATTTCAACTATTTATGCACAGTGCTCTTAAACACTTTTTTTTATTAAAACGGTCTTTACAGCGAATAAGTATGCAAATATGTATGTGTGCGTGTTTGTAATTGTCTCTGAATGCGTTGAAAGAAATGTCGAAAATTATCTCAAAAGAAAAAAATATGCGAATTTAAATCTGTGAAAGACAGCAAATTATCTGTTGATGGTTTTGGCTTAAACGAATTTGAGTGTTCTTTTTAACGAATTTAATTTAACGCATGACCAAATAGTATCGCTCATCGTGTAGTATTTGTTTATCAGCAGGTGAATAATTTTTTTTTTAATATACATACTCATGTGTTTGTATGTACATAGATATGCACAAACATACATACATACATACATACATACACACATACATATGTACGCAAAAAACTCGAAGCTTTCGTCAGCAGTCAATACTACAATGATGCAAATCATGAAGTTGACAAACGCATTGCAGACAATAGCTCAATATGCTGCGGATAAAGTTTTTTCCAGTAATTTTTTTGGTACATTCTCTTTAATTTTATGGCAAGTGTTGGTGAAAAAATTTCAATCAAAAATTTAATAATAAATTTTGTGTTTGTTTGTTTTTGTTTTATTTTTTTTTTTTAAGTTGCCAACACACCATGAGAGTGTTCGAAACCACAAATAATAAAATTGAGTGCATGCATTATACGTTTTTATAAAAAAAAAGATAGTTTTTCTGAGTCTAGCTTTTTAACGATTTGATTTAAAAAATATATTTTGCATAAGGAATGACATGGAATATTTGAAACATTCTCCAAAAACTAGATTACCAATTTTTGTGAAAGAAAAAAGCCAAGATTTCGGTGTTTCGAATGATCCAAAACGTTCCTTGAATAAAAATAAGATAAATTTGAAACGAAGAAAACTCAACTTTTTTTAAGAATTTTATTCTTTGAAAATTTAAACTATCGGATTAAAGTAGTTAATTAATTTGCGGTTCTCCTAACTTAAGCTGTGTTTCAAATTCACCTGCAATTCTATTTCAATAGCCTCAAAGAAGAATTTATAAGGAAGCTGCAACCCCTTTCTAGCTAGCTAGCTGGCTAGTCGAAATCCATGTTGAATGAATTCAATTCTAACTTATTCAAATAAGATTTTTAATGATAAATAGCCATCTATTTTGTAAGTAGACAATATCCGTTGCTAAACTTACAGGTCAATTCTGGCAACTGCCTTTCAACTCATCACAGCCTTTCCTAAGAAAGCTCGTTAATGTCTTTCGAAAGACTGATTGAAAGATCTGTTAACGTTGAGGTCTTAGCGTTATGCTGTTCGGCTTTTAGCAATAAGTTTTTTTTAAGTGAAGTTAAATTTTAAAGATAAATATGGTCGCTTGGCTTCTTTTTAAAACAATAAAAACTAATAAATAAAATTAAATTAAATTTGAAAAAAAGAAAAAATAAATGAAATTAGAATAAGCAAAAATAAATAAAAAAATTTCTAAAAAGTAAATGAACTAAAAAATATATTTCTTTTTCTTTTTAAAACAATAAAATCTAAAAGTAAATTACAAAAAAAGCAAAACAAATTTAATAAAAAAAGAAGAAAATAGCGCTTAAATATAAAAAAAAAATATTTTTATTTTTAAAACAAAATCTAACAATCCAAAGAAAAATAAGTTCAAAAAGACAAAAAAAAATTAAAACAAGATCCTAAAATATATGACAATGAAATTTAACAAGAAATTTTTAAGCAAAAAACAAAACCGACCAATCCTCGTATAAAATAGTCGGATTTAAACCAAATAAGTATGGGACCGCCTGTGAGAAGTAACACCTTTTCTTTAAAAACAGAATTATAAAAACCGGTTAACATGGTCCAAAGTTATGCGGCAACATACATTAAAAAACAAGTAATTTTTAGCAAAAAGAAAATCGACTAAAAAAAATATATATATATCTATATATTTCATGCTTCAGTGATCGGATCTAAACCAAATTAGTATGGGAGCACCTCTGGTTCCGTTGCAAAAAGAATTATCGAAATCAGTTGACGTGGTCCAAAGTTATGCGGTAACATACATAAAAAAAAATAAAAATAAAAAAAAATATTCCGACGAACTGATAACCTTCTCCCTTTTTTGAAGTCGGTTAAAAGTACTCTTTTTTCTAAAAGAATTACATCTAAAATATATAAGAAAATTTTATTAAGAAAGGAAAAAACTTAAATAAAAAAAAAAAATACATATAATAAGTTCACTAAAATTCAATGAAATTATGAATAATGAAAAATATTCTTATTTTTGAAAGAATAACAGCTAAAAATTTAAAGACAATTTAAATTGAAATAAAAAAGAAAAGAAATACATAAAATAATTTTCTAAAAATTAAATGCAATTTTACGAAATATTCTTTTTACAAGAATAACATTTAAAAATTAAACTAAGGAAGAAAAAATTAAATATAAAAGAGAAAAAATACATATAATAAGTTCCTAGAAATTAAGTGAAATTAAAATAAAATATATTTCTTTTTAAAATAAAAACATCTGAACATTAAAAGAAAATTAAATTCAGAAAGAAAGAAATTGTAATAAGAAAGAAAAAAATACATAAAATAAGTTTATAAAAGTTCAATTAAATTAAAAAATAATAATCTTCTTTTAAAAAATAACATTTAAATATTAAAAGAAAATTAAATTAAAAAAGAAAAAATTATATTAGAAAAGGGGGAAGAATTGCCTCCCGAGGACTCGAACTCGTATCTCTCGAATGACACACATGTGCTTTATTCACTCGACCATTGCGCCTGTCTGAATCACGAGAGCTAAATGATATAAAAGTGAACCGATTTCGATAATTCTCTTTTTATCAGAAAGGTGGTAACTCAAGGGTGATTTATATCCGTTCAATGGATCATGGAGAAATAACCGGCACTCCTAAATTTTTATATGAGATTTAAATTCGGTTGTTTTTTGCTTAAAAATTACTTGTTTCTATAAAACCTATTTCCTAAGGTAAAAATGTTTTACTAACTAGAAGAATTCATTAACAAATAATAACTTGATATAATCCTTAAAGTTAAGTTTATATTTTATAATATAAAAATACCGAATGTGCCACCGAATTGCTAGTACTACGAGTAAATAGCTGGATTATGCTGCCGAAAATTAAAATAGCATTTTTTTGGCACTCCATTGATCTGCACTCAGGCAAGTGTCAAAAATGTAAGCAAAAATTCATAATGCTGCCGAATTGAAGTCGTCAATAAGCCTTTCATACTCGTATGCATACATACATAGAATTAATAATCAACAACAAAATTTCAATTTTATTACGACGCCAATGAAAATTAAAATATAATCCCATACCGCAAAATCCTTTGCGGAAATCCTTTAATTTATTAAATTTCCGCTCAACTAACGGGAATTCGATTAAATTTGCTATTTGTTTTACTTTTTTGCGTTTCTTTGCTTGAACAGTTACTATTGCTGCTACAAAAATAATTTCCCCTGCGTGATAAGTCTCTATTAATGTATGGGAAAAAGTAGAAAAAGGAAATTTGTGTTATTTATAAGTATGTATGTATGGATGTTACTAAATTGGTTATAAATAAATATGAATTTATACTATCCTTGAGTGTATGTGTGTATGTAAATAGTTATAGGAAATATACATAAAATATTTTATTTAATATCATTTTTTTTTTTTCGTTCCCTTTTTCTCTCTTTCGCTGTAACGTTTGCCCATTTAACGTCGTATCGTCGCTTGCTTTTTCATGGCTGTCCGTGCAATTTCCGTTTGGCTGACGTAAATATTGACGATGATATGCACCGCTGATATCAACAAACCAACCAACACGGCAAAACCGACGCACCGGCAATAATGTCGCTGCCAACGCTGATGATAATCTTGACGACGCTGATGATGGCGGCAATGTTGACAACAAACCAACAATAAATACACCTCTCAACAATATACCAAAAATATTACACGCCTACAATCGAAACTAACAACATTCTCTTCACCTATTTATATATGTATATGTTTCGCGCATCCTTATGTTTGTGCACGTGTGCGCGCGTATGAATTTGTTGTGACAGGTGTCCCTTCACAGCCTAGTAATTTCCGGGCCACCGATATCGGCGAGACCGCAGTCACATTGCAATGGTCGAAACCGACACATTCCAGTGAGAATATCGTACACTACGAATTATATTGGAATGACACATATGCAAATCAGGATCATCACAAGTGAGTATTACGAATACATACATATGAATATGTACACGTACGTACTGATAACTAGAGATAGTACATAGGGGATATAACTAGGAACTAATAATGCAGCAACAAAATTTCACGAATTCAATTAAATAGAACTCACACGCTATCTAACGACAAATGAACTGATGATATCGACATTTGACGCGTGCATATTGATTTCAATTTAGTAATTTTTGTTGCTCAGCGTATGCATACTTCGGATGGGCGCATAGAAGTGCATACGAGTATATGTATTAGTAATTGTTGATAGAAATCTTGGCGATAAATTGAAACATGGTCACATTAATGATGGAATCAATATGCAGGCGGAAAATGTAATAAATACATATGCAGGGTATGCGATGATGTAGCTATTCGAATGAATTTTCGTAGCTATAAAAATTTCCTTAAAGAGATAAATTAAAATAATGTGTCTGGTTAAATTTAAACACAAAACGAACTTAAAACTTAGCATAAATAGAAAAAAAAAAATCTTTTTTCTGAAGTTATTCATGTACATATTTAAAAGGGATGTTTTCTTCTGCTGAGGAATTTTATGCAAAAGGAAGAATACGTAATATGCGTAAATTACATTTAATTAAATTATTGTAATAAATAGCCTTTAGCAACATTTTCTAAAAACTAAAACCCTAATTCAAATTTCCCACAAATTGCCCAAAAGTTAATAAATTTCCCTAATTTATTTACCTAATTTATTGCCCAAACAAAGCACTAGATATTTTTTTGGCCAAAAAATTTTGGTTTGTTAAAATTTCTTAAAGGAAATTTCCCAAAACAAGTGAAATTCCCCAGCACAAGGAAAATTACTCCAAGTACTAAATTATGTAAGAAACGTATTGGACTAGATACGTATCAAAAAAAAAACTAAAAGTGAAATTTCCCTCAGTCAAGAAAATTTTGTAAACCTACTGCAAATTTCCCTTGTAGGATTATACTTAATTCATTGCCCAAACAAAGCAGCGGATACTTTTTTGGTTTGTAAAAATCTCCAAAATCAAGTGGATGTTTCCCAGCTCAATGAAAATTACTCGCAACTACCAAATTATGCATGAAACGTATTGGACTACTTATCTAAAAAAGTTAAAATGAAATTTCCCTCAGTCAAGAAAATTTGTTTACCGTACTGCAAAAATCCTAAAAGTGAATATATTTCCCTTGTAGGATTATAATTAACTTATTGCCCAAACAAAGCGCTTAATACTTTTTTGGCGAAAAACTTTTGGTTTGTAAAAAATGTCCCAAAACAAGTGAAATTTCCCAGCACAAGGAAAATTACTCGCAAGTACCAAATTATGTAAGAAACGTATTAAACTACTTATCAAAAAAAGAATTAAAATAAAATTTCCCTTAATCAAGACAATTTCTTAATACAGGGAAATTTTTTGTTGGACGAATTATACAAAAAACAGCAGCGAAAGACAAAAACAAAAAACTACAATAACAAATTATACACACGGTGAAAATTAGAACACAAAAAATGTGCAACAAACACATCATTTTGACAATCTGCACAATTCGCCGTGATATCAGCTGTTCCGGTAACACCACCTTGTATGAGTTGACCTAGGCACAAAGAAAACAATAAAAATCCGAGCAAATATGAAATTTCCCAAAGGGAAATTTTACAAAAACTTATAAATTTATCATAAAATAAATAAAAATCCCAGCAGTTATAAAATTTCCCACAGAAGGGAAATTTTCTAAAATTTGTAAATTTATCATAAAATAAGATCTTGTATAAATTTGTCGAATTAGTTGCCTTGATTTGTTGGCTCAATTTTGCTTTGAATTGTATAGCAAAGAAAATTTATTACTTGCTGTTAAACGTATAAAACAGTGCCTTTCCTTATTTAGTTGGAATAGTGTGTAAAAACCACTAGGGACATTTTTTTTAGTCTTAAAAATGTATCTTATAGAAAATGTACCTAGCACATTTTTCGCAAATTTTTATGACTAATTACTTACTTACATATGTATTTCGATTTCATCCTAATAAATTAATCAATTCTCCGTAATTTTCCTAAGGCGCATTTCGAATACTGAGTCCTATACGCTTGACGGCCTCTATCCTGATACCCTGTATTATATATGGTTGGCGGCGCGTTCGCAGCGCGGCGAAGGTGCAACAACACCACCCATACCCGTCCGTACGAAACAATATGGTAAGTAAATTTTACATAATTTTCGCTTAGCTATAAAAATAAAAATAAAATCAAATTGTAGAAAAAATATGCATATACAATAATACCTTATGCAGTATGCAGTAAATTATGCAAACTAATATTATTTAGGATGAACTACTAATTAATACAACTATGCATTCAAAAAGACAATAATAAATTTGAACTGTAGTAGGCAAATTTTACTACTTACATACACTTTAACAAAGAAAAGTGTCTTCCACAGCGAATATGTAGTATTCATAAAATAAACACATACATATTTTAGTACGTTTTAGGTTAAGTAACTCAAAAACCCACAAACCCCCAAGTAAGGATGTATATGATAAAGCTCCCGTAGTTATTGGAAAAAAATTAGTACGAAACCCAATCCTAACCATCCTTAGATATTTCCTTTCTCTATAAACAATTTCAAAAGCTTTCTTAAATGTAAAAAAAAAATACTTATGCTTAGGTTGCTAACTAAAGCCTACGCGGAAAACAAGGTAATCTCTGAAACAAGAATAATTTGTGGAATTTGAGTGTGGCTGTATTTTAGAAACAAGTGAGTGTGTGTGAAATTTAAAATGAGGAGTTTGCTTATAAAAAAAAAGACATCCAGTTGTTTATGCCTTGTTTTAAATTTATTTTTAATTGATAAAATTTTTTTTGTATTCTCAAAATTAGTTTAAATATAATTTAAGTTTTAATTGTACAGTTATATTTAAGTTCTGAAATTAGTTTTAGTTTAAATTTACTAATAGAAGCAAATTATTACAGTAATGTTATACATATAAATACATACTTACAGAATATACATATTTACTACTATGTATATACATAGACACATAGTATGTATGTATGTACATATACTCATTTTGCATACATAATACATAAGACATACATATATAATAACATATTTACATACATAAGTTCTCACAAATGTATCCACATAAATTTATAAATTAATCCACAACTCCTAATACTACAACTACTCTAATTCTAAGTTAATTGTCCCAAAAAACTTCGACACATACTCATTAAAAAAATATTACCGAAATGCACAGGATCTGCGTGTGGGTTGAAAGCGTGGTACAAGAGGTCACTAGTTCATGAAATCGCTTCGTCTTTGCCCATATGAAGCGAAAAGAGGAAGGAAAGGAATCCCTGCTTTAAGTGAAAATCGTTAAACGCGTCCCGATTAGCTTTCGCAATGCCTAGTAACTTGGGTTATGGCTCAAGCCGTGTATATAAAAAATATAACAAAATTTCATTACGGGGAGAGGGGATTTTTTTCAGTTATTCGATTTTCGTTCAATTATTTTGATTTTTTGTTGCCATCAAAAGATCAAAAAGAAAATTGAAAATCAAAAAATGCTTTGCTTTCAGTTCCAAAAACTTCGGGAAAAGCTTGCTGTATGAACACTTTCATATAGGTATGTACATTAATTTAAATGCTCGAAATAGCTGTATTCGCCTCGGCGCCGCTTCCTGTGTGAACGCACCCTAATTTTTTTATTTATGATTTCTATGTAAAAAAAAAGCTGATCTTTCGATTGAGATGACTTAAAACCTTTAATGTGAACATCATTGAAAAAACTGACAAATTAGATTTTCTTTATATATTTATTTGTATATGATCTCATTTCCCTGATATGCGGACCCGGCCAATTGATTAGTTCCTCCTTTTCATACACAGTATTGACAGTTTTCCTTTTGTTTAGTTGATACCTATTAATTTTTTTATATAAATATGGCATATTCTATAACAAAAACCATGTAAGTCCGATTTTCAAACTTTATATAAAATTTATAATAATGCAATCTACTTTCATAAAAATTTCAAACTTAAAAAAAAATGTGCAGTGCTAATTTTTTTGTTAAAGTTGTTTCGAATTTACTTTATACATACAACATACAAAGTGTTTTTTATCTGCAAGAAAATGCGCAATATATCCGGAAAAAAAAAATCAAAAATCAACGCGATTTTTTTTTTGTAATTCGCACATCATTATGCTAAAATTTAACGGGCTATAAAATTCCATACTCAAAAAAATTGAAAAAAAAATGTTTACTTTCAAAATTTCTTGAATTATTATAAATTTTGTACAAAGTTTGAATCACGGATTTACACGTTTTTTGCTATAAAATATGATATATTTTTTATAAACAATTAATGAATATTAAGTGAACAAAAGAGAAAACAATTCATACTGAGTATCAAAAGGCGGCACTATTCAAGTGGCCGGCACTGTATATTGTTTTAGCTGAGATACTTCAACTAAGCTCAGATATTCCAAAAATACTTGCTCTGATGTTTACGAAATTTATTTTTTCGAATACTAACAGCCAAATTCACGAAAGCAATTTCAGTGAAAAATTATTTTAATTTTTTGTATTTTACATGGAAATTGACAGAAAATAATAAGTAATTTTCCATTTGAATTGCTGGTGAAACCGGCTATTAGCACTTAACATAAATTTTTTAATTTGCCTAATAGTCACAAAATAAATTCTAAATTTTCACTCACAACACAACAAGTTTTGCTCACGCTCATGCATACATACAGATTCACTTATTTCACTGTACATAAAAATTATTTCGATTTTTAATTTGCAAATAAAAAAGATATTTCGTTTATTTAAATTTCCCTCTTAAATTTTTTTTTATAATTTAGTTTACTTGATGATTTTTCAGTGAGCAAATTGTATGCGCGTGTGTGGACTGTGTGTAGTTCAAAAGAATTATTTTAGCACCATCACCTTTAAGCAAAGCCTAGCAATTCTACAATTTAAAATTTTAAATGCATGCATGTAAATAACTTGTGCACCAAAAAAAAAAAAAGAAAAAGGAAACAACAGGTGAAACGCACAAACTGAAATAGAAACAAAATAAATTTTCTTGAAAATAAATCAATTTCACCAAATAGTGAACGTAAGTTAAGCAAAAAAAAACAAACAAACTGCAAACATATATATTTATATATCTTTATATTTATATGACAAATAATGCAATCAAATTTTGAAAACACCAGCACTTGCACCAGCACAAAAAAAAAAGCAGCACCAACTCGCACCCACTTATGCTATATATTTTTTTTCATTCAGTGTGTCCTTTCTTTATTACTTTTTTGGTATTTGTATTTGCAAATGTATATTATGAGTATTTATATTAGTATTTTATATGCTTGAATGAATTTATAGCATGCGCTTTACGGTACTCAAGTGTTAGTATTGCTGCAAACAGTTAAATTGCATGGTAAGCCTACAAATATGCCTTTTAATTTTAGAGATTTTACAAATGCATTTTAGTATTGAAAATTGCAGACAAGCTTAGTTTAGGGCCGGATTCACAGTGCATAGTAGAACCTTTGTTAAAATGCACAAATGCACACGTACAAGTTAATTATGGTAAAAATTCATTGCGCCTGAAATTATGCAACGCTTGCGCTCAACGCTTCTCTGTAGAAAATCAAATGAAAAAAGTAAATTTCATTCTACGAAAACAGTTGAAATTTCATTGATTTGAAGGTGGACGAATTTTGCTCGTGCCCCACGAAATTCGTGGCGCCTAAAATTATACAACTGTGAATGTTAGTGTTGTTAGCTAAATTTGTTTCTGTTGTTAGCTGCGCACTGTGAATGTGGTCTTTAATTTAGAAATTTAATTTTAAAAGCGCTTAGGCACTTGTCAGCTTTTTACCGAAATGATGTACTCTTAGATTGCATACTTTTAGTGGCTAATACTTTAAATTGAGACAAAACTATTGTACTACCAAATTCTATGCTAAATTGTCAGCGGTAAGCTATTAGGCGCTTAAAAGACAAGACTTTTAAGGCCCGTTTACATACAACTTTGGCGTTGCGTTGGCGTTGGCGTCGCTTCCGGCTCCTTCTAATGAATCCTACAATTTCCTTGGTAAGCGAAATCCTTTTCACAAAAGATTCGTCCATTGGAATTTTAAAATTAGTTAATGTATTTATTTTATTTATCTAGCCAAGGTCGGACAGTCACAAAGAATATGTTCCGAAGGCTCATCATCTTTAAGGTAGAGTCAGCGGGCTGTCAGAAAACATCTACATATTCGGCTCGTATGAAATCGTGGCTGGTTGTGATCAGTGAGTAGCCTGACGTCAGTTCGGTTACATAGAATAATATCCGATCTATTTATAAGTTAACCGAAAAGCCTGACCTATCGTCCCCGTCGCTCCCCAGTACTTACTGCGTCCAGTGCTCTGGTTATAAGTTCGAAATGAAAGAGCCCGGATGGATGCTTGCCTATCTGAAAAGATAATTAAGAAAGCGGCCTTTAAACCGTTTTAAGCTTTCATTTGGCTTTGGTTAAGAATGCTAATACTTTAGCCTGGAACATCCGCCCATAGATACCTGCTCATTCTCTGTCTTCTTTCCGTTGGCCGTATGTAGCCCCTTTGGTCCATCTTTATGCTTACTTAATGGATTTAGTTTAAAGAGGTTCCAACTTCTAATCAATCTCCCAAAGGAGACTTGCACAAACTAAGTATTTTTTCAAGCACTCTACACGTACTGTGCCCCGGCTAAAGAGACATCTTACATTCAAGCAAACGCTATAGAGAACTAGTCCTGATTTGGCCACCATACGAGCTCATTCACTCCTTATACACTAAAACTTTTCTGGTGTTTTAAAGGAACTTTGGTTTAACATAAGTGCTATGAAGAGCTGAGGGCACAGCATATGGATTCTTGGTGTGCAGTGCATGCCACAATTTGCAGTTAAGTAGAAATAAGGTTGGACGGAAAAACCAAAAACAAATTTTCCAAGCACCCACTCAATATGTATTGCCAATTGGGTTTAATATTTAGAGGATAGATAAAAGCAGGTGGGATGGGAATTTATCACTCCTCTGCAAACTTGTAAGACTATTTTATGAATCTAAGCAATTTGTCTATGTAAGGAAAATGTAGCTCGTCCATCTTGAGTGCATACGACTCAAAGATGTACGATCTCAGTCAAGCGAAGTTT